TCCAGGAGGAGGGTTTTTCCTCTCCACTGTCGCTACAAGCATGCTTAGTGTGGGGGATTGTATTTGAGTCAATGAGTCAATGCAATCAACTGGTTTTCCTTAGATAGAAAACTTTGTATCAATTTGACTGGATGATCTGGTTGAACTGTAAAGTGCCTTGAGATGACATGTGTTGTGAATTTGGCGCTGTATAAATGAACTGAATTGAATTGAATATAAATAAACTGAATTGAATTGAATTAATATAGTCTTATATTATTTTGAGACTTGCTCTATATTTTGTCAAAGCTGTTTTATTTTCTCTGGACTTTATTTTGTCTAAATACTAAAGGTTAACAGCTAATTTTAATTGTGCAAGAGAAAAATATCTCTTTGGAATTTATAGATTTACACTACCAGCATACGAGTAGAAACATAAATCCACCAGTGTACTTTTTTAAAATCCTTTTTTCAACGGGATAATGCATAACCTCAATAAGGACTGACTTAATATAAAATGTTCCTGTAAAAATGCAGAGGTTAATAAAGGTTGGCATTGACATGCATATTATTTTTAATAAAGCTACTGATGGAGTCATGCCAGAGCAACATCCTTTCCATGTATCCTGTTCTTCTGGGAGGCCAGTTATCAGCAAAGCTGCCCTGCAACTCCTCTTTACTCTGCACTGCACATTTAAACTTCCTAAACCTGTTAGTGTTTCAGTAACATTTCGACAACATCATTGTTATATTTTCTGACTTAGAAAACATTAGACTTTTGAAAGGGTTTATGTTCTTTATTTCTTTCCAGCTACCTGCTTCAAAACAGCCACACCCATTTTAAAGCACACATAAAACACTCAGTCAATAACAGCCTTCATACACAGCGAGACAGGAGAGCATCCATCTCTCAGACGAGAACATATTTGTTTTTCTTGTGGAGCCACCTGACCTGCAGTGTCACACGGTAAGACATTTGGACTAAACACACTAAGAATTACATTTACATATATTTTTTCTTTTTAATATTTAAACCTTAGGTTGTTTTATGTCTTTATAATTGTATCTGCAAACGATCAGATCCAAACGGCTCCTCGTTGTGTTGGTTGTGTTTTAGAAGATAGTTTGGTAAGCTCAGACTGGCACCATCATGGGGAATGAACAATCTACTATTGAAGAGGTAAACCAGGTAAAATCCTACTCCTACCATTACTCTTTCAGCACCTTAAACTTTGCAGATGACTTCTGTCCGGCTGCAGAATGGAGAAAGTGCATGCATCAGAAACACTGAAAGTCCTTTTGGAAAATGATAAAGGTTGTTTTGTTTTTGTCATCTCTCCATAGAATGGGTCGATTCCAGAAAAACATGAAAACGGATCGGTGAACGGCATCTCCGCAGGCATTACATCCAACGGATTGGAGATTGATGGTGACTTTTCTCTCTGCTTTTTATTAAAATTTATATATAGACTCATGTGCTTTGTTTTTTTTTTTACTGCAGAATGAGAAAGCTTATGGAGTGATTTTTGATCCATTATTGTTGCAAGCAAAGAACATGTTTTTAAATGAAAATTTGGAAGATATGCAATTTAGAAAAGAAACTTTGAAAAATGTTTTGATCCAAAAAGGGTTTGAGTTTGATTTACGTTTGGGTTCGATTTGCTATTTTCTCAGAGTTTTGTTTTTCAAATTATTCTCACAATTGTCTTTTTTAAAGTGCAAATTTTTCTTTTATTGTATTTTGGTTTTACGAGATTGAGTTTTACGAATTGCAGCAACAACAGTGTTGTTCCCTGCAGCAACAACGGTGTTTTACGAATTGAGTTTTACGAATTGCATTCTCTTTACATATTACGCTATCATCCAGGTCATAGTCTTTTTTTTTTTTTTTTTACTTTTGCGGCTTTACATATTACATTCTCTTACCTTTAAGCTCAGTACAAATGCTAGAAATTAAAGTGCACAATTACAAACAAAAATGTTGTTGCTACTGTCCATACACTGCACAAAATGGAAATCTAAGTAAGTAATTTTTTCTTAAAGTAAGTGCATTTTTTCTCCAATTGAGGTTGAAAGTGAAAGACTTTGCCAATGGAACAAGAAAATTTACATTTAAAATAAGAAAAAAACAATTGCATTGTCTTATTTCAAGTTCATATTATCTAATTATCTTATTCTAAGAGTAAAGATACCAATTTCATTGGCAAATCCTCGTATTTACCTACTCAAATTAAGGATAAATACACTTAATTTACGAAATTTTTACTTTTTTCTAGAGTGTTTTTGCAGTGTATGGAAAAATAGAAATGCACCTTCACTGCTCAATCCTGAGTAAAGCCCCGCCCACAGAACAGACAGGAATGTGATCTGAAAAATGCAATAAAAAAAAGCATTTCAAAACTCAATTTGAAAAAGAAATTAAAAAAGCAAAGTTACTCTCAAAAAACATTTTTATTTAATCAAAAAACTGCTCAAATTTTCATTTCTGGATTGAATGTTTTTAAAATTTCAGTGTCCAAACTGTTGTTTTCCAAAATTCCATTTACAAAACCCGTTCTGTGCTTACAACAATAATGGAACAAGATTCACTCCATACAGCTATGCAAGGAAATGTATCCATGATCCTCTTCCAGTTTCTCACAGGCTAAATTGGT